TTCTTTGCCTATGAAGTTTCAATGCACTGCTACTAGCTGAAGCTATGATATTAAACTCATGTTTGATAAATCAATAGGCTGTCATTATAACAAGTCTTAGCGTTGTTATTCAGTTTATTTTGCTTTAGAAAAAAAAACAGTAAAGTCAGGTCTTGCTAGGACAAACGACAACAGTCTACTACATTTTCTGATTACCATATCTTTTTGAATCATATAGGCAGTCGTGTCATTTAGTTTAATAAACGTTCAACTTTTATTATTTAACAAATTGTTTTGATTAATGTTTTTTTTTCTGTGCTGATATCAAAGCACGTTCTAATGCGAGAGCAAATACAACAAGTCGGTGGGTAGAGTGCAAATATAGATTTAGATCGTTTCACCATTCTGTCTTAGTCTCATCATATTTGCAAGCAATAAACTAGTCTTAAATGCATAAACAATCGTCATTTTTCTGCACGATAATCTTCATTTACGTCTTTAGATTCTTATTGAAATGCGGAGTAAATATAAATTAAAGAAAAAAAAGGATGCATACAATATCCTATCAATGATTTGGTATTTTAACATTGTTCATAAACAAGTAGATAAAATTGATCGATTGCAATTAAATGAATTATATTTTGTTCGAAAACAATTACTTCGAAACACAAAAGTCAAAAATCTTAATAAGTTATAATCAAAACAGGGTGTGGGTGTCGGTGCGGGGTGTGGGGTGTGGGTGTGGGTGTAGGGTATGAATAATTCTCTACATCCACACCTACACCCACACCCACACCCACCCACACCCCCACCCACACCCCCACCCACACCCACACTCACACCCACACCAACACCCACACCCACACACCCATACCCACACCCACACCCACACCCTCTCGGAACTAAAACTATTTTCATGTAAATTAGATTGAGTCCAAGTGAAGTAGATCTGTGCAAAAGTTTTGTTGAACTAGTTCTAGGAATCTTCTGATTTTTCCATCAAGATATGAAATAAATCAAAAGAAAACTATACGGTTGGACAGAGTAATCAATGCTCTATCTAATCATATAGAAATCAAGAACGTCTAAAGTCTTGTAGAGATACAGCAAATTGAAGAAAACTAGTAAAAATAGGTGAATCATCCTATATATAAAGAAATTTCTATAGTTTAAATATTAGAGAAAAGCAGGATGTGAAAACTAGAAAAACTTAGACAATGATAATATGACTGTGATCCATGAGAAACAACATAAATATATATAACGTATTAAATTTTTTCATAAAAGATAGTGATGAAATTTCTTTGAGAAAAAAATCGAAAAGTTTCCTGAAAGTGTTGTGAATTTCGTTTAAAAAGATATTTTAAAAAAAAAGAAAGTTTATTTCGAATAAATGAATATTATTCTGGAGCTTTCACTATTAAAAATATTTTATTTATGATTTGCTTATGTTAAAAGCTTTGAGAGCATATTCAGCATATGTTACAAACATTTAGGTCATAACAAAAGTACTGGCAGGAAGTATTTTAATTCTTTATTAAAGTTTAAAGCAATTTTCTCTCAATATAGTTTGATAAGAAATAAGCAATGCTTTACATTTCTGTAGTTTTTGATTATTCTTCAACTGATATTATAATACTAAAATTTCGATAAAAGCTTGCTTGTTATGATATACTACGATCATATTAGATGACATTTTGCCGTCGATATATATATATATATACTCTTCTCAATATTCTCTTTATTCTTATTTTTTTTGACGCCTCTTCTAATACGTAGCCACGTATCCATATTAGCGTAAATAACAAATAGAAGCAGCAGAACAAAAAATAACTACAGAAACAAGGTCAACAAGTCTATATATCATTAAATGCTCGAAATAATCGTCCTGGTTGTCATACTCAATTGCAATCGTTGAATTTATTTATCAAATGTTTTTTTTAATACTCGTATTTTATTAAAAGAATGCTGCATTGATTTCAATTCGTTTTTATTGCTTAGATTTTATTTGATATTTGATTAAGTTGAATAACCAAAAAGTTACATGGTGTCAGACCCGGAGAATTACTTTAAGTAAAACCTTGATGAATTTGTGTCTTTATTTGATTTTGGTTCTACAACACTACTTCTTGTATACCTTAATATTAAAGCTGGAATCAGTTCAGATTTTTCGAAATTTTAAGCCTAACCGAAATCGACTTTGATTTGAGAAACTGCGAATTGAACTGAACCAATCTTTGCTTAATCTATATAGATGACTACTCCTTAAAAGAAAACAAGAAAAACGTGAGAAAGAGAATAGAGAAAATACACAACACAGACGAAATTAGATCTCATAGTATTGTCTTACATCATGACAAACATCTTTTATTGAAATTTTAAGTTTTTGATAGTCATTGAAGAATAATCACATATCACAGAAATATAAAACTTTGCTTTTATTATTAGCCTATATTGAGAGAAATTTGCTTGAAGGCTTTTATAAGAAATTCAAGCACCATAGCCACTATTTTCGATACGTCCTAAGTACAATTCTATATGAAAAGAAAAACTGTCTTTTGGTTTTAAAGTAAAACTATCATTGAATTATGAACTAAGAATAAAAACATTATTCTTGTTGTTTACTCCAGTCCTCTTTTAGTGTCACAGATGAATACTTGAATTCATAATACTTGAAAACAAGATTGTTTGTTTTTAGCAAGTACTTTTTACATATCTTGAGCATCAAATGTATATGTGATTCCTACATAATTAGTCTTACGCTTTACTATCATTTGACTCCGTGTAATACGAAATAATTGCGTATGCATTATTGACCATTGTAATATTGTTGCGTCAGGTCAACATTATTTAGAGTTTGTCTTTTTTAATTTCAACAACAGGTTCACAATCAATATCGACTTTCATATCGATTATCTTCGAGATATACATGCTATTTGTTTCAATAGATCACGAATGATGTCATTAGTTGTATCAAAATACAATGATAACTTATGTAAACTAAGAACACCTTTATATAGCTATTAATTAAATATTCAGATGCAACAGAATTTGATCTTACTATTCTATGTATTTTGTACGATCTTTAACTGATCGTCGTGCAACATTATTAATTAAACTTTCAACCAAATCTCACTTCAGAACTGACGACAGTTGCTCCTGTGGCAGTTGCTTTCTTATGACTCTTTGTAAGAAGTACAAGCAATCAAAAACTAATTCAAAAGTACATGGATATTGCCCTCCTTCTCACACTATCTTTCGCCCTTCTTCTTATCATCAACCTTCTAAATATTATGATAGCAAGTGTCACGAAAATAATTGTCATATAATTCTAATGTTGATACTAAATTTTTCAGTTCATGTTAATATTCCATACTCATTAAATTCCAATCAAAGTCATGTGCTATACATAGAGAAGGAATATAGAATTTTCATCGTCTGAGAATTTATCATTCACTTAATTCAATGCAATCATTTTGCTCTTTAGTACTTGTAAATGTTATTATTTTATATTTTAATCATGCATATCCGACATGAACTTCTTCACTATTTGTTGTTTTGCATTTCAAAAAAAATGAATTAAATGTCTAAGACGTTATTTTAATATACGAAATTAATGTAAAAATTCATTTGATAGAAAATTATAATCCATTTCTAAAAAATTTTAGAAGAAACAAAAACGTTTTATGAATTAATGGTAACCAAAATTTTACATTTCATGAAATATAATCATCATTTCTTTATTATTTGAACAATTTCTCATGATTTTCTTTCGAATTTTTTCTATGTCTTCTGATATCCTTTTATATTGTATTAATAGTGATGCATGAGATAGACAATGTTTAATTTTACCATTTTCAAGCTACTTATATACTAGTTTAATTTATAAAATTTCAACGGTTTATAATGAAGGATATTGAATATCAGTGTATGTGTTAATGAATCACTTAAAATGAACATAACAACAAGATTAAATCATTTGTTTGGTCCAATTGCCTCTAGTTAATATTGGTTTTTTTATATATTTTCATATCAACGCATGCCTGATAAGAATAGTGTCAAAACACTTTATCAATGATCAATGAGTCATTATTTAGTGTTAGATTTGTGAATATTTGCATACAGATTCTATGATCATCAAGAAAGGGATTTTTTGTTTTGTTGAGGCAAATGATGAACATGCTTTGCTTAGAGCATGTTCACGTTTATTTTGTACATTTCATCAAGTTTAGTTAGCTAAAAGATGACAATCACCATGTTTAATTAAATAAATTGGCATATTAAAATTGAAAAGCAACCGATTAAATACTCATTTCTACATCAAAATTATAAAAATATTCCTTATTTTTCTTTTTTTTGTTGTTCTTTTCGTGAATCACATATGTTTCTACTCGCTTTTTGACATAAAAATAAATAGTGAAGAACAAGCGAAAGAAAAACAATCAAGCTAAATCAAGTAAAAAGCATACATTTACAAAGATAAACAGATCAATATACATGATAACACCAATGTTTGTTAGATCATTTCATAATATATCAAAAAGCTTATCTAAAATGTGTAAACATATGTATTCGATAACAGATATTATCATATCGAACCTCTTTCTCCTTTCATTGTCTCTTCTTCCTAGAGTCATAAAAGTATTGCAATCTATACAGAATAAGATTTTAATAGTTTACCTTGAAGCAACGAGTAATACACATATTCATTGAGCAAAATAATTCTATCATTCAAATTTAATAATCTTACATGACAAATTATCTCTAATTAGCATCATTCATTTATAATCATGTTTCGTTTTTCGAGCGTCATCTGTCAGAAAAGAGAATGAATGAATGTCATTCAAGATGTCTCCCTTTGTCAAATAAAAATATCCAATCATTTCAGTTAAACAATTAATTAGGATGTATTTGTTTTGACCCTAGAATTATTACTTTATGCGAATTGAGCCTTAATTCATAATCAAAAAAACAGGAAAAAAAAAGCAATAATTTTATTCAAATGATTTGAAATACATCTAATGGCATCAAATGATATTCATCATATTAGACATATTTCATCTCATAAATGTATGTTTAAATATCTCAAGTTTTAATTATCTTTAATAAAAATTACATTTAGCTCGTGCATCTACAAGTGCACTTCCTCAAAATTCGATAACATTATCATCACCAAGTAGTCCGATTAATACAGAAAATCTCAATAGTAACTTATCTCGGGGTCATCAGTTATGGAATATGGGTATTGAAAATGTTCTTGAACATGAAGAAACTCCACCATCATCATCATCAATAGTTTCATCAACTATTGGTAATGAACCAATTGGTTGGTACAATTTAACTAAGCGGTAAATTCTTTTAGATCATTTTTCATCATGTTATTTGATGCATCATTGATTATTATCATGATCAGCTCAATGTGTCGTTTTTTTTAATATAATAACAATAAATATTTTGTGTCAGAAATTCAAGGAGAATTTATAGTGACCTCCATAGTAAAAGTTTGCATTTGATTGAAGGTCATTTTCTTTTGAAACTATAATAAAATTTCAGGTCAATACTCAATGTAAGATTTGATCGACTATCTAATAGCATGGTATGATATATACATATATACATACATGTATACATACATGTATATTTATACTCGAAGTCCGAAGGGAAATCCTTCTGCGTAATGATTATAATCTATTAGAAAAAATAAACGAACAAAGAGAAAAAAAGGCCGATATGATGATGTTGATAGTCGACGGCAAGCAAGGCCAAGAAAAAAAAAAGAAGAGAAAAAATCGCATCTAAGTAACGAGTTTGCTTGCATATTTACATGCATGGAGTGCAGAATAGAACAAGAGTAAGAGTTTTTTTTTTCGCTTACATTTATAAACGTGCATTCAAGTTAGTTAAAAATATTTCATTTTATTGCTCTCATGTATTTTTGATTAATATGATGATAGAATAATATTCAAGTAATAATGATATGTCATCATCATTGTCGTCTTCAACGGATTATCATTTGTTGACTTTTGATTTTGATGAAAATCAAATGATGGAACAACATTACGAAAAACAAAGAAAAGATTATTCATTTTTTTCATCATCGGCTCCTGCAATTATTAACAGCAGTGATTTGATAGGCGAGTCAAAAAGGTAAAGGTTCTATCTATTATTTACACGTGATCTTTAGCAAATGACAGATTTCTTATTTTTTTTTTTTTGAAACTATTGTTTAGTTATGGAAGTTAACAGTATATTAGGACTTTGTACGTAGTAGTGTCGTTGAAAGTGTAAGAGTAATCAAGAAAAAATAACAAGCTCATCAAAGTAGGACTACCATTAGAGTTGACAGGGCTTCTCTTCTTAGGTCACGAGTGCTTACTTGGCCTTATTCAGTCTATACTATTATTTGTTGTAGCTAAATGTAAAAACAACGAATATCAACGATGATAAACATGATTTCATATATATAGCTTACAATTTTAATGAAAATATTTCCATTATTTTCTGCATCGAATGAGAAATATATATATATATATATTCAGATTATCTATCGAATCTCTACTCGTATACACTAATGTGTCAGCTTTTAAAAAAATGTTAATGAGAAACTCGACTTGAGTTTTTTTTCTCATTTCCTATAAGTAAAAAAAAAAGAGTGTGGGGTGTGAGTGCGTGTGGGTGTTGGGTGCGAATGAAGAGAAGAACCACATCCACACCCACACTCACACCCACACCCACACCAACGCGCACACCCACACCCATACCCACACCCACACACCCACCCTCATCCACACCCACACACCCACACCCACACCCACACACCCACACCCACACCCACACACCCACCCACATCCACACCCACACCCCATACCCACAACCACACCCACACACCCGCACCCACCCACACCCACACCTACACCCACCCACACCCGCATCCACCCACACCCACACACACCCGCACCCACCCACATCCCTATTTTTATATATGAGAGACGAAAATATAGGATCAAAACATCAGAGAATGAGAGAGATTATGAAAAAGAAAATGATGATCGAATTGTACGATAAAGTTCACATTGAGTTATTTGCAAATTTCCACTTTCCAATAAAAAAACTGACATAATCTGAGTATAAGTGGACGTAAGATGTGCTTGTCTTTCAATGCGGGTGATAGACAGACCCACATCCACATTCTTTGTGAGAAAGTTACTCTTGTCACAAAGGACGCTCTTTAATACAAAAAAATTTAAGTCAGAATTTCGCGAAGCTTATTATACATTCAGACTTCTTGACTCCGATTACTTCTGATAGAACTTTATAGAAAAAACGTTACACGAATATACGTGACTTTCTAGGTCCAAGTAAGCAAACGTTTTTTTTGTATGACCCATCCTTCAATTGAGAAGAATGCTATTCTAATAGTACAAAAACTGACTCATAATCAGTAAATATTAAACGTGATCTCTCAGTGTGTCATAATTTTCTTTTCATTTTTATATCAGTTTCATGGAGAAAATTATTCTGTTCTTTATTGTATTATAAATGAATAATTATAGAGAAAAACGTGGAAAAAACCAAGTCAATACTGGACGATTACAATGTATAATGTTACAGAATAGGTTTTTTGTTTTGGAGCTAACTTCGGCATTTAAAGTTATTCATCCTATTGTAAGAAGAATTTCGACAATATTTCTTACAATTATCTATTGTTGTATTTCGTTGATTTCAAATCTGTTAACTATTTATCTGAGTTTTATCATCATTCTTCTGTATTTGTGTCGACTGATTGCATCTACTTAGAATCATCAACTTACCAGCACTTTTCAGCGCTTTCATGAATTAATTGATTTCGCTTCAATTCAATTCTTTCATAAAGATGATATACAATTGGTTTGGATTGATCGACATTAGCAAAGCGATGATTTGGATTCACTGTTACGTAAAATTGATGTTTCATTTTTTTTCGATGATTTAACACCAGCTATTGAGTATTTATTGATAAACGAAAATTCATTTCAGTACTTTGTATTTGTCTCGTGCGAATTCTGTGAGGAAATGATTCAGCTATCAGAACATCTATCTCAAATACATTTTATATTTGTCTATTGTTTAAACTTAGGAAAATATCAATATTTGAAGGAAAAATCATTGAAATTATTGATGATTTGTGATAGATGGTCAGAGTTGATCAGTTCAATTGAAAAGATACAGAAATCTACATCTATTGCTACTGCAAGACAATATTCAATGCATGATCTAAGTAAAGTGTTGGCTACATTTATGTGGTTTCAATTACTTAAAAGTCTCATATCAAAATTAACAACTGACAAAGAAGAACTAGCAATGAATGATTTCAAAAAAGAAATCAAAGACTACTATCATGATGATAAAAGAAAACTTGCAGGATTTCTAGATGAACTCGCATGACATTATTATGTTCTACTTTCAATGCATTTGTTTTTAAGGGCAAATGTGAGTTGCTGTGTAGAACATAAACGTTTGTTTATTTTTAACTTTAAAGAATCACCACCAGTACATAAGATCACGTGCATATATACGCCTGGAAAAAAATAGCTTTAGTCCGTATTTTTAGTATATTGTCACTATAAATACCCATTTTTTTTAAACAAATTACATATTCTGAAAGCGTGTGGAGTTTTTTATCAGTCTATATATTTATGTATTGGTTTGCATTTGTGCATTATGAAAATAAATGCAGTGCAATGGAGGCACCCTCATGTTCAGATTCCCCAACAACAAAATTTTATCAGTATCATGAAAATTAGTTTTTAAACTTTTTTATCACTAGAACAGTATCTTTTGAAAAAACTAATTATATTTTCTGATAGAGCTTGAAATTCTCTATCATCCCATATATTTTTCAATTGTATTGA